TCTTAGATACAGACCAGGCTCGATGTTGCTTAGGCTGGTATTCCCAAGCGGTCATCCATCTTAGGTACAGACCAGGCTCGACGTTGCTTAGGCTGGTATTCTTAAGTGGCCACCCATCTTAGTTACAGACCAATCTCGACGTTGTACAGACCAGACCATCTCGACGGTAGGGCTTATTCTCAAGCGGTCACCCATCTTAGGTACAGACCAGTTGCTTAGGCGAAGCGGCCACCCATTAGGTCGATGTTTAGGCTGGTATTCTCAAGCGGTCACCCATCTTAGGTACAGACCAGGCTCGACGTTGCTTAGGCTGGTATTTCCCAAGCGGTCACCCATCTTAGGTACAGACCAGGCTCGACGTTGCTTAGGCTGGTATTTCTCAAGCTCGACGTTGCTTAGGCTGGGCAAGCAGTCACCCATCTTAGGTACAGACTAGACACGACGTTGCTTAGGGCTGGTCACCCATCTTTCTCAAGGCTCGATGTCACATATCTTAGGTACAGACCAGGCTCGATGTTGTATTTAGGCTGGTATTCCTGGTATTCTCAAGCGGTCACCCATCTTAGGTACAGACCAGGCGTTCTGGACGTTGCTTCGATGTTGCTTAGGCTGGTATTACCAAGCGGTCATCCATCTTAGGTACAGACCAGACACGACGTTGCTTAGGCTGGTATTCCCAAGCGGTCACCCATCTTAGGTACAGACCAGGCTCGACGTTGCTTAGGCTGGTATTCCCAAGCGGTCACCCATCTTAGGTACAGACCATGCTCGATGTTGCTTAGGCTGGTATTCCCAAGCGGTCACCCATCTTAGGTACAGACCCGGCTCGATATTGCTTAGGCTGGTATTCAAGCGGTCACCAAGGTACAGACCAGGCTCGACCATCTTATCTTAGGTACAGACCAGACACGACGTTGCTTAGGCTGGTATTCTCAAGTCACCCATCTTAGGTACAGACCATCTTGCTTAGGCTGGTACAGACCAGGCTCGATGTTGCTTAGGCTGGTATTCCCAAGCGGTCACCCATCTTAGATACAGACCAGGCTCGACGTTGCTAGGTACAGACCAGACACGACGGCTGGTATTCCTGGTATTCTCAAGCGGTCACCCATCTTAGGTACAGACCAGGCTCGATGTTGCTTATGCTGGTATTCTCAAGCGGTCACCCATCTTAGGTACAGACCAGACACGACGTTGCTTTGGCTGGCTGGTATTCTCAAGCTCGACGTTGTCATTCCCATCATCTTAGGTACAGACCAGGCTCGATGTTGCTTTATGCTGGTATTCTCAAGCGGTCACCCATCTTAGGTACAGACCAGACACGACGTTGCTTAGGCTGGTATTCTCAAGCGGTCACCCATCTTACAGACCAGGCTCGACAGCGGTCACCCATCTTAGTTACAGATTCCAGGTATTCTCAAGCGGTCACCCATCTCGACCAGACACGATGTTGCTTATGCTGGTATTCCCCAAGCGGTCACCCATCTTAGGTACAGACCATGCTCGACAGGCTGGACCAGGCATCGACGTTGCTTTGTTGGCTGGTATTCACCCCCTTAAATTTACAGAAGGCTCGATGTTGGTCACCCATCTTAGGTACAGACCAGGCTCGACGTTGCTTAGGCTGGTATTCTTAAGCGGTCACCCATCCACCCATTTTAGGCTGGTATTTACAGACCAGGTCTCGACGTTGCTTAGACTGGTATTCTCAAGCAGTCACCCATCTTAGGTACAGACCAGGCTCGACGTTGCTGGTATTTAGGCTGGTATTCTCAAGTGGCCATTCCCATCTTAGTTACAGACCAGACCTCGACGTTGCTTAGGCTGGTATTCTCAAGTCACCCATCTTGGGGTCACCCATCTTAGGTCACCCATCTTAGGTACAGACCAGGCTCGACGTTGCTTAGGCTGGTATTCTCAAGTGGCCACCCATCTTAGGTACAGACCAGACACGACGTTGCGGTCACCCATCTTTACAGACCAGGCTCGGCTGGTTTCTCAAGCGGTCACCCATCTTAGGTACAGACCAGGCTCGATGTTGCTTAGGCTGGTATTCCCAAAGCGGTCACCCCATCTTAGATACAGACCAGGCTCGACGTTGCTTACGCTGGTATTCCCAAGCGGTCATCCATCTTAGGTACAGACCAGACACGACGTTGCTTAGGCTGGTATTCCCAAGCGGTCACCCATCTTAGGTACAGACCAGGCTCGACGTTGCTTAGGCTGGTATTCCCAAGCGGTCACCCATCTTAGGTACAGACCAGACCAGGCTCGATGTCACCCATCTTAGGTACAGACCAGGCTCGGTTGCTTAGGCTGGTATTCTCAAGCGGTCACAGACCATCTTAGGGCTGGGTCACCCATCAGACCAGACACGACGTTGCTTAGGCTGGTATTCTCAAGCGGTCATCCCATCTTAGGCTGGTACAGACCAGGCTCGACGTTGCTTAGGCTGGTATTCCCAAGCGGTCACCCATCTTAGGTACAGACCAGGCTCGATGTTGTTGCTGGTATTCCCAAGCGGTCACCATCTTAGATACAGGTCATTCTTACAGACCAGGCTCGATGTTGTAGGCCACCCAGTTTTAGTTACAGACCAGTCTCGACGTTGTATTCTCAAGACTGGTATTCTCAAGTCACCCATCTTAGGTCACCCATCTTAGTTACAGACCAGTCTCGACGTTGCTTAGGCTGGTATTCTCAAGCAGTCACCCATCTTAGGTACAGACCAGGCTCGATGTTGCTTATGCTGGTATTCTCAAGCGGTCACCCATCTTAGGTACAGACCAGACACGACGTTGCTTAGGCTGGTATTCTCAAGCGGTCACCCATCTTAGATACCATCTTCTCAAGGGGTACAGACCAGGCTCGACGTTGCTTAGGGCTGGTATTCTCAAGCGGTCACCCATCTTAGTAGACCAGACCAGGCTCGATTTAGGCTGGTATTCTCAAGCGGCCACCCATCTTAGTTACAGACCAGTAGGCTGGTACAGACCAGTCAGACCAGGACGACGTTGCTTAGGCTGGTATTCTCAAGCGGTCACCCATCTTAGGTACAGACCAGACACGACGTTGCTTAGGCTGGTATTCTCAAGCGGTCATCCATCTTAGGTACAGACCAGGCTCGACGTTGCTTAGGCTGGTATTCCCAAGCGGTCACCCATCTTAGGTACAGACCAGGCTCGATGTTGCTTAGGCTGGTATTCTCAAGCGGCCACCCATCTTAGGTACAGACCAGTCTCGACGTTGCTTAGGCTGGTATTCTCAAGCAGTCACCCATCTTAGGTACAGACCAGGCTCGACGTTGCTTAGGCTGGTATTCTCAAGCGGTCACCCATCTTAGGTACAGACCATCTTAGGTACAGACCAGGCTCGATGTTGCTTAGGCTGGTATTCTCAAGCGGTCACCCATCTTAGGTACAGACCAGACACGACGTTGCTTAGGCTGGTATTCTCAAGCGGTCACCCATCTTAGGTACAGACCAGGCTCGATGTTGCTTAGGCTGGTATTCCCAAGCGGTCACCCATCTTAGGTACAGACCAGGCTCGATGTTAGGTACAGACCAGGCTGGTATTCCCAAGCGGTCACCCATCTTGGTATTCTCAAGCGGACAGGTACAGACCAGTCTCGACCAGGCTACAGACCACTTAGGCTGGTTGGCACGACGTTGCTTAGGCTGGTATTCCCAAGCGGTCATCCATCTTAGGTACAGACCAGACACGACGTTGCTTAGGCTGGTATTCTGGTCACCCATTCTCGAAGCTGGTATTCCCAAGGTCACCATCTTAGGTACAGACCAGGCTCGATGTTGCTTAGGCTGGTATTCCCAGCGGTCACCCATCAGGACCAGGCTCGATGTTGCTTAGGCTGGTATTCCCAAGCGGTCACCCTGGTATTCCCAAGGCTGGTATTCTCAAGCAGGCACTGGTATTCTCAAGCGGTCACCCATCTTATGTACAGACCAGACACGACCAGGCTGGTATTCTCAAGCGGTCACCCACTTTGCTTTGGCTGGTATTCTCAAGTGGTATTCTCAAGTGGTCACCCATCTTAGTTACAGACCAGTCTCGACGTTGCTTCGGCTGTGTTAAAATCTGCTGCTGTTTTCCAAGGAAGCTTTAGTTTTTATTACAAGAAAGAAGTACCACAAAGTAATACTATATCCCAACGGATGAAAAAATTTCAAGAAACATGTGTTAATGATAAGCCGTGGCCTTCATCCTTTTACAAAATTACAAGTATTTAAAATTTGCACACGAAATGTTTATACTTCTTATAAGTTCATCAGCAAGAGAGAGAGAGAGAGAGATAGAGAGAGAGAGTGAGAGGAATGTGCAAGCCACGAACCGGTGACGTCAGAATAAAGCCAAAAGGGATATATTTCGATCTGGGTAGGGTAGTAACTGATTACAAAATATGTGACAGAAACTCGATTTATTTATTAAACTTTTGGCGCGGGAGCCATTCGGGGTAGAGGTTTACAGATAAAGTTTATGTTGATATGTGGGGAAGATGACGGCTTATCCTCGACTTGAACAGATTGCATTCATGGGGGAAGCATATTTTTGGTAGTCGGTTCCACAGAGAAGCGATTCGTGAATCTGCTTGAATGGAACTTACATCTCACTAATGGAATACGAAGACAATAAAAATGGTTCGCTACAATGGGCGTCGCATGGCGGGTCTTAGCCGTAAAGATTAAGACTGGGGCGTCGTTGAGAGGATGACCAACACGCATGCACGCTGAACGAGGAACGTCACGGCCAGCATGATTAACGAACTCCTGATCAGCGCATGGGATCGATTTAGAAGCCGCATCGAAGTCGTAATCGAAACTGATTTCAGTTATATTGAATGGACTTGTTTTTTTTTTGGGGGGGGGTCATCTGTCTAAGGAGATGTGCACTAAATTCTATAAAAAAAAAATCGTATTGTTTCCCCTACTAAATAATGACTATCACAAATTAAAATTTGTTCTCAAATACCTGACGCACATCGTATGTCTCTTTTTATACGTGTTTCTGCATTTTCTTCTTTCGTTTTTACACCATAATGGTCACCCTGCATAAGGCCCAAGAGCCACTCAAGGTAGAGGATTACAGAGTAAGAGGCGTAGTTTATGCCAATATGTTTTGTTTTTTTGTTTTTTAACCCAAGCAATATATATAGATTTTCCCGTTAAGTCTATAAAACACAACAATACACACCTTTAGAATTTCCTCAAAATTTATGTCGTAGCGACACATCAAGGTAAGTAACAGAACCAACCTTGATTAGGATATTTGGTGCATATTAACAGTTTCCGGCATTCTATAACTTTTTCTTAAGCGTTTCACCCCAAGCAAGGCGGGAAGCCACTAGCACGCAAAGGGTTACAGAGAGTTGGAGCGAGAGCAAAGAGGAGTGATAGAGGAAAGGACGAAGAGAAGTTATAGGGGATAGATCAAGGCATCTGGAGACGTCGATTGACATTACATTTGAATAATTGGAGATTATAGCTATCAGGGAAACAGGAAAAGGGGAGGGAGTTCCACAGGTGAGAAATGCGAGACATGGAGCTATTGGAGTAGAAGTGGGGCAGATAATGGTTATCCCTAGTCTTGAACAAATTTTAGCGATCGCGAAAACATCCTCTTGCGAGATCGTCCCACAGAGCAGCATTTCGCGGGGAAAAAAGCTGTTCGGGTGGAAATTACATCTCACCAATGGTAAGCGAATGGAATGAGGTTCGGTATAATGGCTGGTCTTAGCAATGGAGGTTAGAACTGGTGGAATTAAGTTCGTCTGAACACTTTCCTTGGAAATAGCAGTGACAGGCTCCTGACATTTCGTCTGCGAGAAAGGGGTTGTAGGATGGAAAATAATTTGTCGCCCACAAGGACACGGAAACGCTTTTGGAACCCATCGAAACTTAAAATTGAGGACTGGGAAGCTCCTGCCCATATATGTGGAAAGCGAAAGATGTTTTTCAGAAACTAAGCAAATATTAAGAAATAGAAAAAGGCCCTTCTAAACTAGGAAAACATCACCGAAGTGACATTTAGCAAATGTCATATCTCTATTCTCGTCTATGTTAGTGAATGATGGGACAATTTTCTCGCAGATGAAAGAACTTGAACAGATGTGAATCAATAAATGGCTTGGTTTGTTTTGTTTGATTTTACGGTATATCAACCTCAATGGGTTATTTAAGGGCGACAAGATTGGAGCTAATATTTTTGCTCCAAAAATCCATCAGTAAAAAGTTAGTTTTACAGATTCAAGATGAATATTACCAATCATCCAATACAAGGCCCAATAGCCACTCAAAGTAGAGGCTTAGGGAGTGAGGCTTCTGTAAGGGCATACAAGAGGAGAATAAGTGGTACGATATATAGGATAGATAACGGTTGATCCTAGAATTGAAAAGATTATTGTGATTGGTTTATTTTGTTTTACGGAATATCAACCTCAATGGGGTATTTAATGCCGACATGATTTTTTATGCTGGCAATACTTTTCCTCAAAAATGTATTACTGGTAATATTTTTTTCCTTCAAAAAATTATTGCTGGTAATATTTTATTTCTTCAAAAATGCATTACCGGTATTACCATTTCCCTCAAAATGTAATGTTGCTAACACCATTCCCTTCAAGAATGTATTGCTAGTAATATTTTCTTCCTTCAATTATTTCCAGTAATTTTATTTCTAAAAATGTATTGCTGGTAATAATGTGTTCCTGGTAATAATTTTTTCTTCAAAAATTCATTACTCGTAATAATTTTTTTTTTATAAAAATATATTGCTGGTATTAAAATCTATTTACTTTCATAGTTTTTTGACCCCAGTTTAGGTGTTAACTATTTACCCATAGCTGGGACCCTAACAGGTGCTACCCACGCCCGGTCAGGATGGCCCTGGAAACACCAGCAATTAAGAGGTGGTTCCACGCTCCTCAAAACCCCCTGATCAGTGGCCTTGCTGTTGGATTCAGTTTATCGTCTTACCCAGGTCGCTTCATTTTGGTCTTACCCCTCTGCAGAGGTACAGTCGGTGTCCAGCCTACAGGGCGGATCAATAAATGAATGCTGGGAATACCGTGTACTGAACCTGAGCGACGAGGAAGTATTTAGGACGGATTATGAAGAAAGAAGGCTTGGAGAATTTGACACTCAGGGGACTAATTAGGGACGGTAAGGAACAGCGAGTAACCTAGTATTTAATTAAATGGATGATAGAGCAGGGACAAAAATCTGAGAGAAAGTCAAATGTTATAGATATAAAGATAGGAAGGAGTGGAGAGCTATGATTCGGTACATATAGAAGATTTTTTTTTACGATAAAGCGGATGACGACACGGAAACGAAGAATGATAAAGAAAGTAAAAATCAGAGATAGAAAAAGAAATTCCATTTTTATATTGGTAAGACTCTATCGCTAGTCTACACATCAAGTGGACAATATCTGTGCGTCTTTGTCTTCAGTGTCCTTAAATGTGCTGTCACTCAATTCTTTAAGCGGTCCCTGTCACCTTAAAAACCAGAATGAGGAATCTATGGCCACTAACCCACTTGCCATCACCTCGGCGATCACCAAGTCTCCCAGACTCTAACTCTTAGTTTTGTCTCCCGGTGTCCTCGGACTATTTTTGGCTTCTCTTCCTCGCCACAAAAAGTCCTCACCTGCCCCCCACTGTCCTCGACGTGTCCGTACCCTTCCCACCTTCCTTGCCACAAACACCACCACATACAAACACGCCACACCTTTTTCCCTGAAAATTCCGACCCCGCCAGCCGTACCGTCTGAGTCTGTCCTTCCCCTTCCCGACAGATCAATATTGTCTCAGACGCGACCAAATACCATCTTCCTTTTCCTATACCCACTCTCTCTTCTTTCTTTATTTCTTTCTTTCTTTCTTTTTCTTTCTTTCTTTTTTTTTTCCGTTTTCCCCTCTCTCTGATTGATTGCTGGCACCGCCACCTTCACGTTTGCCAAAGACGTCGACTATTGATTCCAGGTTTTGCCTATACACGTCTCTACTTATCTGACACTATCGCTGCAGCTTTCTTTTCCATTTTTTCCTATCATTATTCTGCAATCTTAATTTTCCTTTCTTTTTTTCTTTACTTTATCCTTGGAGGATTTGTTTTATTTCCTAATCTTCTTTCTATCGTACATTTTTTTTTCTTTCTTTCTTTCTTTCTTTCTTTCTTTCTTTCTTTCTTTCTTTCTTTCTTTCGTCCTCACATTCTTTCTTTCTTTCTTTCTTTCTTTCTTTCTTTCTTTCTTTCGTCCTTACATTCTTTCTTTCTTTCTTTCTTTCTTTCTTTCTTTCTTTCTTTCTTTCTTTCTTTCTTTCTTTCGTCCTCACATTCTTTCTTTCTTTCGTCCTTACATTCTTTCTTTCTTTCTCTCTTTCTTTCGTCCTCACATTCTTTCTTTCTTTCGTCCTTACATTCTTTCTTTCTTTCTTTCTTTCTTTCTTTCTTTCTTTCTTTCTTTCTTTCTTTCGTCCTTTCTTTCTTTCTTTCTTTCTTTCTTTCTTTCTTTCTTTCTTTCTTTCTTTCTTTCTTTCTTTCTTTTTTCTTTCTTTCTTTCTTTCTTTCTTTCTTTCGTCCTTACATTCTTTCTTTCTTTCTTTCTTTCTTTCTTTCTTTCTTTCTTCCACATTTCTATTTTTATTTACTTGTCTGCCTTTCATTTTTTAAAATTTCTGTTTAATTTTTCCTTTCTAATTATGTTGGCTTCGATTAATTAATCTATCTATCTATCTATCTATCTATCTATCTATCTATCTATCTATCTATCTTAGTCTATTAACATCACTCTCTCCTCTCTCATATATATATATATATATCAGTCTGATCAAAATCTATCTATCCATCTAGCTAGCAATCCTCATCTATCTATCTATCTATCTATCTATCTATCTATCTATCTATCTATCTATCTATCTCAGTCTATTAACCTCCTCTCTCTCATATATATATATATATATATATATATATATATATATATATATATATATATATATATATCAGTCTGATCAAAATCTATCTATCCATCTAGCTAGCAATCCTCATCTATCTATCTATCTATCTATCTATCTATCTATCTATCTATCTCAGTCTGTTAATCTCTCTCTCTCTCTCTCTCTCTCTCTCACACACACACACACACGTATATATATATATCAGTCTGGTCATTACTTATCTATCTATCTATCAGTGTGTATAATTATTTTATCTACATGTATATATCTTTATCTATTTTCACATCAGCACATATATATAACTCCACACACACACACATATATATATATATATATATATATATATATATATATATATATATATATATATATATATATATATATATATATATATATATATACATTATTTAGTAAGTGTAGCATAATTTTCTACCGGGACAGAAACGAATGATGACATCCAGTGAGGATCGAACTCGCTACAGGAATAATGGCTCCGAAAATTAGCTTAATTGCTGCTTCATTTTGAAGAGTTAATTGTACTTAGCCTGATCTTGTCTGGCACAAGGACACTCTAGTAGGGCACATAACTCTTCTCTAAGATTATCATTTCTTTACTCTTTATAATTTCTACATTCTTCTCGTCCCCCTCCTGTACTACCTTCCCAACCTCCATTTACTCATCTATTCTTCTCTCTTTATCTCTCACTCTCTCACACTCACACTCGCACGCTCTCTAGCTTTTTTAGCACTTTCTTTTCTTCTTACACATTTTTCTTTTCCTTTCTTTTCTTCCTACATATTTCTTCTCTCTTTCTTTTTCCTTTTCTTCCTCCATATTTCTTCTCTCTTTCTTTTTCCTTTTCTTCCTCCATATTTATTCTCTCTTTCTTTTTCCTTTTCTTCCTACATATTTATTCTCTCTTTCTTTTTCCTTTTCTTCCTCCATATTTATTCTCTCTTTCTTTTTCCTTTTCTTCCTACATATTTCTTCTCTCTTTCTTTTTCCTTTTCTTCCTACATATTTCT